CACCGGCCCAGCTTGCTGCTCATGGCTGCGCCGCTCCTCACTGCCGCGCTCACCGCCGGCGGACTGGCGTCACCTGCACCTGCGCCACAGGTGCGAGCGCAGGCCCCGCCCCCTGCGCGCTGGGCCCCGCCCCCGCCACACAAGCACACGCACATGCACACGCCCCCCCACGCAGGGAGCGGGTTTAATCAAGCTTTCTAGGAAATGTCGCCAGCCGCTTGGGGCTCGGCTGCCCCGGGCCTGTTGCTGCCCAGGCTTCTTGAATGTCATAGCCCCGAGTTACCTGGTTGGGTCTCTCAGTCAGACGCCGCAAGTGACAGCCTGACTAAGCGTGGATCTCAGCGGGCGGCTCAGGAAAGCAAGGCCCAAACTGAGCAGCATGACAAGAGGTGCGCACAGCGCTTGGGTCAGAGGGGATCTCTTTTATTAGACCAACTAAATTATACTGAAAACAAAAATCCAGTCTTTGCAAGCTTTCGGGCGCACAACCCCTTGTTCAGGCTGAGGAGAATTTAAAAATTGTAGAAGTCCTCCTTGGTAGAAAAGACACTCCATTTTGCACAGGGCAGGGACAGGCTGGAAGTTTATTCCCCTGGGTCTGAGAGTCTTTTTGTGAGAGTGTCACTCTGTGATGTGCAGATTAGGCTGGAGGTGTCGCATGTCAGAGGCATCTAGGGAGGTGAAAGCGCCCTTCTTTCTTGTAGCATGACAAGACTGGTGTAAGTCAGGCTGCTTAATACACACTAGAAAATGTTCCGCTGCTCTAAGACTGGAACTGGAGTGTAGCAAATGGACTGTAAATTCGCCAGGACAAGGGGCTCGGAAACTTCTGGCCTACCAGGCTCATCTCTAGTATTTTATAAGCGCCCCCTACCCGCAGGCCTAGTAATAAGGAATTAATGAAAAGAAGGGTTTTGAACACAAGCTGTGTGGTAAGAGCAGGTCTCTCCTTCCTGTTTACTTCCGGGTGTTGGAAATTTTCTATATAGTAAAAGGAGTAGACTGAAATGCAAAGAGACACAGAAGCAGAAGTTTTTCTTTCTTAAGAAAAAAGTGCTTTTGATTATATATTTTCGTATGTCCACACCATAATTGTTCTGTCTCAGCCTCCCTCTGCAGCAACTTGTTTTCAATATGCAACATAATAGTAACACTCTATAAAATCGCTTTTGGAGCAGGGATTTCTTATACACGCATACACAGGTGATAGCGTAATGTACCCCTGACTTCAGTTGCAGATTTTAAGCACTTTTCTAAAACAAATGACTAGCCACTAATGGTATTTAAATCAAATACTGCAATATTTTGGTGCAGGTAGTCACAAATAAGTGGATGACCGCCTCTATTAAAGTACTTTGGGCACCAGTTTTGAAAGAGTTTCTAAATCTGGAACCGCCCCAACATGTCAGAAGCTAAAACTCGTTCTGAACTTTCAGAATCCAGAGACTAAAATTACCCTTCAGACACTGATATACTCAAAAAAAACCCCAACTCTGCTCCTTTATGGATTTAATGCAAAGATGCTGCAAATGATAGGCAGAGCTTTGTAAGAGACCAGCGATAAAGCCTGCAGTTATACTTTCCTTTTTTATTTACCTATACCATAATAGTAATGACAAATTACATTGATGACTAAGCCATGATTGAGGCCTGTAGCATTTCCTAGGGATTCATTATTAACAAAGCAGCAATGGCATGAGGTCCACCCCAGACACTAAGCAAGCAGATGACAAATCCTCTGAGAAAGCAATAAATGACGTCAGCGTATGGCAATTACAAAAAACCCAAATGCAAGCATTGCCAAGGTGCACGGGACGAAGGGGCAATACTGAATCCAGCCGTGTCGGGGGCTGGCCGCCTTGGAAACCTGCAGCCTGCTAGTAAAGGACTCGGAGGGCAGCGCGTGCCTGGCGAGGGAGGCTGGCAACCTTCAGCCTCCAGGCAGCCCTTGGGAGCCTCAAGGCGCCCCTCGGAAAACGCCAGCTTGGTTTTCACCCTTTGGACCACAGAAAAACAGGAACATTTTCTTCGCAGCCACGACCTCAGGCCCGAGTGTGACACCACCAAGCAAGGCCTCGTGACATCAATGGGTCTCGCTCGCGCCCCGTGTTGGCGGCGCCCCCTTGCGGGGCTCTCCGGTGGGCCCGACGGGGCCCGCCAGTTCCGCCACCCCACCCACCCCTCGGCTTCGCAGTGCGTGAACGGAGCTGGCGGGGCGAGCGTAGTTAGCACTGGCACCAGCCCCGCCCTCTTCTGACATCAGCGGAAAGGAGCCCTCCAATAGCCCAGCGCGTCGCGCGCAGGCGGAGTGCGGTGATGGCGGAGTTGTGGTTGGGGCAGCGCTGCGCCGTGGCGCACTGTGGTCAGTTGGGTACGTGGCAGCCAACGCGGTCCGCGCCACTGGGGGGGGGGGTCCGCTTCCGCCAGCCCCGCGCTCGTGGGCGTGGCCTTCGGGAAGGGGCGTGGCCTCTCCATATCGGGAGGCCGCCGCGGG